GAATGGGACTCAACCCCCCAAAAGTATGAGAATTTGAAATTTATAAAGAAAGTGTTATTCCAAATATAACATTTGTTACATTTGACCACTTTCTACATAGGCATTGTGTATTCATAACATTTTCAGTGCTTAACACGTTGAAGACAGCATTGTTTCATATGCTGAGATGAAGGGGGTTTATGGGTACAAACCCCATGTTTTGACAATAACACATGAACCCCAGTGAGACCCCCTCTACCCACACCCACAAATATCTTCGTAGTAGTGAAATATATGTGAACATTATTGTCTATCACCCACCCCCAACTCCACTGAAGGTATTAGAATTAAAAAATGCAAACAATTCCCCTCCAACATTGACTTTTACAATTCAAATATTTTCCCCCTTCCCCTTTTGACACTGAATTAAGAACTTGAATCCCCCTTTAGGAGATCTTGGACCGACCATTGTATATTTTGAATATGTATGGTAGAGGGAAAATTTGAAAATATTCAAACAAACATTTAAACTTCTGTCCTTCAATTATTGACAAAGACCATTTTCTCCACCAGCTGTTCACAATGACATAAAATGGTTTGAGAGGCGAGGTGAGGTGAAACATTCCCGCAATACCCAAACAATCTGCTTAAACATCTTTTGGGATAGTGTGGCCGGGATCGACCCATCCAGAAACCGCTCTCCAGGCAGACGGTCTGTCCACTCGACAATAATGGTAAAATGATTTATTTCAAATGGAACAGTATACCTTTAACTTCTTGATAAACTACTCATTTCAACTTCTTGAAGACATGAAATTGCAAATAACTATTTCTACAATGTTAACTGTTGAAATATGTTTACCAAATCATCAATTCGTAATCAAATAAATAAAACTAAAAATTCAATCCCATCAACGGCAATTTTATAGCTCTCATGAGACAATTGCCATTCTCACCTAACTGTCTGGGAATACAATAACAACGGAATTATTTACAAGATCGATATGTCTTTCAATTTTAAAAAAACATTTGTTGTGAATAAGATAATCCACTATGATGATGCCGTTGCCTAGCAACCTTTGTGGGGTACACAGATAATGTCAATAGACAGGCAATAAAAGCCATTACAATATCACCTAATGCTGTACCACCACGCCTGGTGTTTAGCTGATAGGGCCCAATTATTGCTCAGTTTATTAATTATGTACCAAGCATGGTGTGGCTTCTTTTCATTACAGAAACTCCTCTGAAATTATGAACAATAAATTCTAATTGGAAATTGGATTTTTATTGGAAATTGTTGTTAGAATAGGCTTTGATTACACATTTTACTGCAACCACAAGAGACTGCAGTGAGGGTGTGAGGTTCAGTTACTGATGCTGTAATACTGTCAGAGTAAAACCATGATTAGGATTCAGTGTTAGCACCACTACCGTATTCAACGTAATAAGCGCCTGCTCTAATATGCGCCTACGGCGATATTTGCTTATATATTGGCTAGTGAACAATCCCAATTAGCACCCCTTCCAATTGATCAATGTACACACGACTTATTTATTTGTGTATAATACGCAGTTTTGTGTTATATGTCTCTTAATCATGGGCAATTAAATTCTGGAAAAATATATCTGTCAAATATGAACATTTCAGGCTGTTAGCATAAACCATGAAATTTACGGTCTATCAACTCTGTTTCTTTCCACCAAAATAACATTCTAATAAGAGCCCCCTATTTCTAATTTTGAGAGTGCCCTCGGTGCTTTTTACATCAAATACGGTATGTAATCTTGTAATCTGGACCAGACAATCCAGTGATTAATATCATGAGCATCGATCCACGCAATTTGGATCGATGACATGCATCAACCAAGTCAGCGAGCCTGACCACCCGATCCCGTTGGTCGCCTTTTATGACAAGCATAGCCGCCTTTTACGGCAAGCATGGGTTGCTGAAGATCTATTCTACCCCGGATGTTCACGGGTCCTTTGCATGAAGATCTGACAACACCTCCATAGGATCCCCTTCATTTTGTCAACCCGACAGAACTTTGAATGGCCATTTTATTTTGTTTATTTGTTGATTTGCTGTTTAACGTCACACTTAGTAATATTCAAGCTTTATGACATTGATCTGTAAATAAGCGAGTCTGGACTAGACAATCCAGTGATTAACATCATGAGAATCAATCTTTGCAATTGGGATACAATGACATGCATCAACCAAGTCAGCGAGCCTGACTACCCGATCATGTTAGTCGCCACTTATGACAAGCATGGGTTGCTGAATTTTAATCCAGAACCTGGGACAAATGCCCATTTTTAATGAAGGATGTATGGATTCAGATGTCAGCTTCCTAAAATGATTTGGCTTTAATTCTTTACCAGCTTGTTCATTATAATTAATTATTTTACTTGTACAAATAAAGTCACACAGAACACAAATATTTATGGCACTCCCTGTTAATGTAGTTGCCATGGCGCTAAGAAATGACACGGGTGTACAGAATATCATGAATATAATGGTGTGGCCTTATTTATTTACATTTGGTGCTTGTTGCATAAGTTCATTTTCTTGATACAGAAATCATATATGATGGTATGAATGCTTCGCTCTTTTATATCAAGAATTTAGAAGCCCTGATGCTGACTGGCTGATTAGAAGCACCCCTATCGTGACCATCTATGGAGGTGTAGACAGATCTTCACGGGGACAGTTGTTGCATCGGAGTAAACAATCTGATTTTAATGAGATTGCGCCAATAATGGGAATAAAAGCTGGTTATAGCAATAAGGCTATTAATGTGTGTGTCTCTCATCTGCTCAGCTTCTGTGGAAGACTACAAGCAAAATATAATACAAAACACACAACAAAACAATCCTTAATAGGTTGAAAATACAACTGATCAGTTGTCTGGATATATACGGGTGCAGGCTAAAATAAATGATCTATTTACATGTTATTTGATGTATTTACATGTTATTTGATGTATTTTCATGTTATTTCCTGTTTTCCAGTTGTTCACAGATAACTACATACATTCACATATGTACAGTTCTTCAGTTTTCATCTTCATCACAGTTTACAATATCGGCCCATGTACCACCGAGCATTGTGATAGTAGCTGACTCAGGGGGCTAATGTTTAATGTAAACTTGTTTTAACATTTCACAATTATTGGTGTTGGTAAGAAACGACGCGAGTTTAATTTAATTTATTTTACTTCATAGCATACATGTATAATGTTTTTACAATAAGTTAGCCTAGTTGTGCCTCCCAATCAGAGTCGGCGAGTAAATTGGAGTAGGGGGCTAATTTCTAATGTAAACTTGTTTTAACATTTCACAATTATTGGTGTTTGCAAGTGACCATGCAAGTTTAATTTAATTTAATTTACTAATGTAAAACAAAAAGAAGGTGCCGTTTTCGCCAGGCAAAAGTAGCAGTTTTCGCTTGAGGTGCCGTTTTTGCCAATCGGTGCCGTTTTCACCAGGTGCCGTTTTAGCTATAACCCGATATGTACAGGAGCGGCCTTGACCCCAGAGTTGTACAGTGGATAGTGTGACATGATGCGTCCAGGGGTCAGAGTTCAATTCACAACAGTGATCCCTACATCATATGATATTCACATGATCCAACGACATGGGGTAGCCTAATAGGTATACGTCGCTATATGGCTGAAATCATGACGATGCGCGTTAAATTTTAACTCACTCACTCACTAATAGGGATACACCGTCTGTGTTTATTTTTGTTTTTCTCACCTTCCATCACTCTAAACATTTTATATAACAAATTACACCAAACATAGGTTGCTGGTGTTCTGTTCTTACCAGGAATCCCGAACATACATCCATCCTCGATTATCCAGTGTATCATATCTCCATTTTATTATGATCAATACACTTGACTAATCGCCACATAAGCATTTAACCTGTGAAGATCCGGGCTAGAATAGGTCTTCAGCAACCCATGCTTACCGTAAAAGGCGACTTTGCTTGTTGTAAAAGGCGACTAACGGGATTGGGTGGTCAGGCTCGCTGACTTGGTTGATGCATGTCATCCATCCCAATTGCGTGGATCGAAGCTCATGATATTAATCACTGGATTGTCTGGTCCAGACTCGATTATTTACAGACCGCCGCCATATAGCTGGGATATATTGCTGAGTGCGGCGTAAAACAACAAACCAACCATCCAACCAACATTAGCATTTAAACATTCTTGGTTGACTGCATAAGATATTTTTGTCAATTGACTTATAGCAAAAAGAAATAAACAACAAACTAACAGCCACAACAATACAAGATCATCCATTGCTCCTCAACACTTCTTAAAGTTAGTGAGTGAGTGAGTTGGATTTAACGCCGCTTTAAACAGTATTCCAGTTATATCATGGCGTGTCAGCTTAATGTGGGAGGAAAGCCCGAAGTGATGCAGGTGTCGGACGTTTACCACTTCGGTGAAACACATGAGCACAGGTATGGTGCTGACATACCTACTTCTTAAAAATATGATACCTCTTAAGAACACATTCATCATAATGATAAACAATGTATACCATTTGGAAAACATATTTGTTCACAATACTTATCAGCCTTGCAACCGATACCATTCATAACACTGAACTCGACTGTGATCGAATCTAGCTTTTCAACCTTTGAAAAATCCAATATATAGAATCTAGGCCTAAATATATAATTTATGTGCCATTCTACACAATAAATGAAACTAACACGACTCCATGGAAAATATTAATTATACCATACAGGTGAATCAGTTCCTTGATTATCGAACCTAATTTAAGCGACTGAATCAAGGCAACACATACCCGAATGACTGAATGACCCGAACATTCAACGCTTGATTGGTCATGTTGGTGGTTCGACACACAATATACATCAAAATTCACTAAACGTTGTATCGATCGTCATGGCAATTAAACGACTATTTCGTGTATACTTGTGGGGCAATGGTGTACAATCGGTAAAGCAATGTCAAATAAACAGCATACACACTCACCTGTATTGTCGGCGCTGATCACTTTTAAACTTTGCCGATTGCCACAGGTATCACGAACCGGTGAAAGGGGAATGTAGTACCCCTGAAAATTCGTTCTTTCTGTAACGGAAGGGTAATGCAAAGGATTGAATTTGGACGACTTTTTCTTGTCGGTCAATAGTTAATTTAACGAATTTCTTCACTCATATAGTCTGCTTGTAAAAATTAAGATATCGGATTTACAAAACGGCATTTTATAACGTATATTTTTACATCACATGCTCGTTAAGGGCCGATAAATAGTTCATCATGTGGGTAGACGAATATAACATTTATTTATATTATATTTTCTTATTATGTACGACTATGTAGGCATAATATACGACATTGTCATATCATTTTATTTCAGTTTACGCGTAGATAAAGGATGGTAGCACAGTGGTTAAAGCTTTTGTTCATCTCACTGAAGCGAATTCTGGTTCGATTTTTCTCATATAGGGATTTGAAGAAGTCAAACCAGTTTAAGTTATTAGTTCACCATTTCAGACACTGTAAATATCATTTTGTTTGTTGCTTAACGTCGCACTCGGCGATTTTGGTATGACGGAGGCATGTTAATAATCGAGTCTGAACCAGACAATCCAGTGATTGATACAGTGACAAGATCCACGCCGTCGGAGCACGATAGCACACCAATTCACTGGATCAATTTGGCCCAGCACATGTTCCTGAATATTATTACTCGGAATACGCAACGAGTGTAGTACATATAGAATATAATCCAGCTGGATTTAACAGATTCCGGATTAACGATATGTAGTATTCTGAGGTTGCATTTGTTTTCGAAGTGATATGTTCTAGGTTACAGGTGATACGGTTTATCAAGAATCCATTGTACAGGAACGGCATATTTTGGCCCTATTAATAATATAGTGTCATAGCTTATTTTGGACGAAAACATGTGGGAGGAAAGCCCGAAGTGATGCAGGTCTCAGACGTTTACCACTTCGGTGAAACCCACGAGCACGGCTATGGTGCTGACAAACCTAGAAACATAATCGGGGCGAACCGGGATTCGAACCCACAATCATAGGTTTCTGGCGTGCCCAAGGGACGTAACTCTGCACAGCGAATCGCGGCGCCTCAGACGATTGGCAGAAGTGTGGTATCTTGGTAGTTATATTTCATGGGGAGGTAAATGACCATACACCGGCATACCCTTCACCATGGTAGCAAACCTCGCGTCAAGGCGAAATCCCTTTGACACCTGTGTGGTTGAAAAGTCGGCGCCGCGGAGCGAGGCGCCTGAGCAATATCATTTATTATTTAACCCAGTCTGCACATTTAACTAGGCGTTTTGGAGAATGATTCCTGACCCAGGTTCCATTAATAATATAGGTGTTTGTGGCCGATCACATCAACAACCAGTAACTTAGCAAAGCCGATAAGATAAAAGTTATGAGTTGAAAAAGTAAATAGAGCACTTCCGTAAGCATGTTTATGTCAACTGTTGCCGACCCTCTCAATATTACTGATATTCATAACAATATATTGGGTCTTTGGTTTTAAAATCTAGCACATCGGGATTATCGTACGTTTCGTACCATTTTGATTAATTAATTAATTGAATTCTATACAATTCCTCACTTATTGTTTATGTAGCGTAGCCGTTGCTAATGGCAACGTGCATCAGTGCCTCCCGGGTGCCTCTGGGATTAAGTCTCGTTAACGATGTAAGTTAACAACTGTGACAAAAATGTATTTATTGTTAATTAAAGTCTTTTCAGGAATAAAAAGCTATACCTTGCTGGCTCAGCAATTCACTGATTTTAATCTGACTGTGGAATGTTTATTACAAAAGGTTAATAGGCAGGAATTTTCGTTTTGTATGATCTACATTTATTCTATATACTTCAGTGAAATATCGATATTTGCGAAAGAAATTAAGAGGAAGTAAGAATGCTATTGTCACTAGTGAAAGATCAATTTCAAAAGACACTTTTTGATTGTCGAATGACGTTACTATTACGTCACGGGACAATATATCATTGACCTAATGTTACAAAGAAGCCGCGTTTTACCTTTTTTGGTGGTTAAACAAGAATGAAATAAAAAAATACATTAACAAATTCTTTAATTTTTAATAGTGCACTCGGTGTATCTGAATTCATAAGATATTATATATAACAGAAGGTCTCGTAACACACAAACGTAATATTTGGCATGGCAGTATATATGTTGCATCTAGTACATACTCTACCACATGTCTACCACTAATTCCTTCACTAATCGCCCTCACAAGAATTCTTATATATTTCAAATGCACCCCCACCCCCACCACACACACACACACACACACTCTCTCTCTCTCTCTCTCTCACACACACACACACACAAAACACACACACACTAAAAAAACACACAGAGAGCCGGGCTGTGAACACATTTAAAGTTTAACATTATTTTTCTGTAAAATGTGTTCTTTTCAGAGACTAGAAATTCCTTTGGTTGTTGCTGTTGTTGTTGTCATTGTATTAGGAATCCACTTTTCGTGTAAACGAGCGATCTAATTAAAATCTGATGATTCTCCAACTCGATATTTTTCGCTTGACAGAGAGACGTTACATTAGGGGCAAAATCTGATATTTATGAGGATGTGTGAACGAGGCGATTGGAATGACTAAGCTCTTCCCAGCACGTTATACCATCGCTACCCTCCAATAGCATTAAATAGAGAGAGTCAGTGGGGTAGCCTAGTGGTTAAAGCGTTTGCTCGTCAAACTGAAGGTCATTGTTCGATTCCTCACATGAGTACAATGTGTGAAGCCCATATCTGGTGTTCCTGCCAGATATTGCTGGAATATTGCCAAACGCAGCGTGGAAATTCCCAACTCACTCACTTGTAGTAGAGTGCTCCGGGAATGGGCTATCGCTACAAGGAGATTGACACAACAAGGGAGGTAACTTTCAACACCTCGCCCAGCCGAATGCGTCGGTGGTTGGCCCAGGTGGTTTCTTTCGTTCGCCCGGTTTCGAATCTAAAATAAGTAAAAGTAAGTGAATCATATTTGATTTGTGTTTCCTTCGTTTGGCTGTAAATATGCGAAAAGTGTCCTAAAATCCTTCATGTTCACTCATTCGCAAAGACAGAATTGATCGGCCAAGTCATCTCATCACTGTGACCAATGGCCTGTGACGACTCCGTACACAGTCATAAACTTATTGGCGTTACTCGGAATCGCATGGGAATGTTAACAGGAGGTTACAGTCAGTCAATCCATAAATCAATGAGAAAGATATATATAAATAGACGCATCGCTTGTGGTATAGATCTCTGGATTGAGACACAACCATAAGCGGGTACATTCCCACGGTCAATGGTTGGTCTGGGGTGTTGTACTTCCGGCGCCATGACTCGACTGCAGTAACGACAGTGATTGTGTAAATATTGTGTTACGTCACAGTTTGCAATCATCCAGTTATACGACGTCGGCCTGTAAATAATCGTGTGTTGTCATAGAAACCAGTGATTGACATAATGAGCAACAAGCCAAGGCGTCGGGATACGATGACACGCAATCAGTATAGTTACAAAGTGACCACCCGATGGACGGTGGATAAAACGCAGCTAAGTACGTAAATGTTCCTCAACAGAGGTTGAAATTCAGTGAATTTACGATTACAAAAAAGAACTCCGAACCAAATTGGCTGGTCCAATTGGAGAAATTCTATTCAAAAATTTAAAAGTTAATTTGAAGTTAACTCCGATCACGCAATTAATTTGAACCCCATGCCCTTTACCATGAAATGGTCTGGCCTCACGCTATTGCAACAGGAGAAAGATATATAATAAGTATACATTACACTCACATTCCCCTCCGCGCTGACATGAGGTGTTGACTGTAATGACTGTGTTTGTCAAACTCTGCATGGCTATATTTTCCTCCCACAGCCTATAATTACAGCACTTACAATTTGACCTTTAAACAAACTGTGAAAGTTAAAAAAGCAAGTCCATTGCAACCCCCGTGATTAAACGGAAATCTCGTCTGCTGGACGATTGTTGTTGGTAATATCTTTTGTTGAAACTCTGTTTGTACGGAAATCTCGTCTGCTGGACGATTGTTGTTAGTAATATCTTTTGTTGAAACTCTGTTTTTTACGGAAATCTCGTCTGCTGGACGATTGTTGTTTGTAATATCTGTAGTTGAAACTCTGTTTGTACGGAAATCTCGTCTGCTGGACGATTGTTGTTGGTAATATCTATAGTTGAAACTCTGTACTGAAATCTCGTCTGCTGGACGATTGTTGTTTGTAATATCTATAGTTGAAACTCTGTTTGTACGGACATCTCGTCTGCTGGACGATTGTTGTTGGTAATATCTATAGTTGAAACTCTGTACGGAAATCTCGTCTGATGGACGATTGTTGTTGGTAATATCTATAGTTGAAACTCTGTTTGTACGGACATCTTGTCTGCTGGACGATTGTTGTTGGTAATATCTATAGTTGAAACTCTGTTTGTACGGAAATCTCATCTGCTGGACGATTGTTGTTGGTAATATCTATAGTTGAAACTCTGTACGGAAATCTCGTCTGTTGGACGATTGTTGTTGGTAATATCTATAGTTGAAACTCTGTTTGTACGGACATCTCGTCTGCTGGACGATTGTTGTTGGTAATATCTTTAGTTGAAACTCTGTTTGTACGGAAATCTCGTCTGCTGGACGATTGTTGTTGGTAATATCTATAGTTGAAACTCTGTTTGTACGGACATCTCGTCTGCTGGACGATTGTTGTTGGTAATATCTATAGTTGAAACTCTGTTTGTACGGAAATCTCATCTGCTGGACGATTGTTGTTGGTAATATCTATAGTTGAAACTCTGTACGGAAATCTCGTCTGTTGGACGATTGTTGTTGGTAATATCTATAGTTGAAACTCTGTTTGTACGGACATCTCGTCTGCTGGACGATTGTTGTTGGTAATATCTTTAGTTGAAACTCTGTGTGTACGGAAATCTCATCTGCTGGACGATTGTTGTTGGTAATATCTATAGTTGAAACTCTGTTTGTACGGACA